TCCTTTATATAACGACGATAAAAGTTAAGTATTCCAAGAAAGGTTCTAAGTTCATGAATTGTTTCTGGTCGTTTGTAGTTAGTAATAGCTTGAACTCTTTCTGGCAAAGGACGGGAACCCTTAGGTGTAATTAGGTAGCCTAGAAACTCGATTTGGGGAACAGCAAAGACAGATTTTGAAACATTAATTCTTAACCCAAATGTATGTAATCTTTCGAAAACTAATTTAAGGTGATTTTCGTGTTCTTCATGGGTACTGGATGCAATGAGTATATCGTCTAAATAGGGAAAAACGAATTCTAATCCTCTAAAGACTTCGTGAATAAATCTTTGGAACGTTGCAGGAGCATTTTTTAAACCGAAACTCATTACATTAAATTCGTATAAACCGAAAGGAGTGATGATAGCCGTTTTACATTTGTCTTCTTCTGCAATGGGAATTTGAAAATAAGCTTTGAATAAATCAATTTTAGAAAAAAATATTTGTACCTCTTAAAATATGATGAAAATCTTCAATGCGAGGAATTGGGTATCGATCAGGTATCGTCTGCGCATTCAATCGTCGGTAGTCTCCGCAAGGACGATATGAACCATCCTTTTTCGTAACAAGGTGCAAGGGGCTTGACCACTGGGAGTTTGATGGACGAATTATTCCATTGTCAAGCATAAATTTAAATTCCTCTTTAGCTATAGCTAAGCGTTTTGGATCGAGCTGTCGTGCCTTTGAATAAACGGGTTGACCAACAGTCGAAATAAAATGTGTAACACCATGTTTAATTTGTGTAGGAAAAAGGTTAGGTTAGGTTTAGAAATTTCGGGATATTTCGACAGTAAATCGAAAATTTTTATGGATTTATTTAATGTGGTTACTGAGTACTGATAATCACTGGAAATAGCAGCGACATCACACTGGACACAAAGCTGTGTTACGCCATCAATTAATTTTTTCTTATTTATATCGACAAGCAATTTATATTTGTGAAGAAAGTCAGCTCCTAAAATACCTTTTGTGACATCAGCAATTATGAATGGAAACTGAAAATCACGACGTAATCCCAAATCAAGAGTTAGCGTTTTTATGCCATAAGTGGAAATATCTGTGCCATTAGCTGCATACAGTTTATATTCAGTTTTACATTTATTCTGTGAAGTAGCAGGAATTATGCTTACGTCAGCTCCGCTATCAATAAGAAAGTGCAAATTTGATCTTCGGTCACGAACGAATAAACGAAATTTGCGACAATCCTTCATATTTTCTGCAGCAGCGTTTGCCGCTGAACCTACTGCAGATTCGAGTTTTCCTGGTTTTTGAAATCGTTTTTTACCCAAGCACACGGAGGCTTGCATTTCTCTGGAATGAATTTTGCTCCAAAACGAAAGTGATAAAAACAAAATTTGCCAGTAGGGTCATATCGTTTACGAGGTTGGCTTCGAGATCGTGAACGTGAATTACGTAAATCCGAGTCCCTTCGTCTTGAGCGAATGGTTACTTGATCAATTTTTTGTTCAAGAAAGGTAATTCTTTGCAACAAATCATTTGCGGGAACAGAAGGAGCATTAGTACTAAATACTTCTGGTTTCCGATTCATATCACTAATTTTATCTGCCATAGACGCTAACTTGGTTACATCTTCAATCAACTAACTGGCATAGTAAGTTTAACTTAAATTATGAATAGTGTAACACAATGAATTACTAAACAAATAAGTCTAAAGTATATGACTTTTAATTTTCCATCTATTCGAAATGTACAGCTACGAGCACGTTTTGAAACCAAAAACCTAGCAATCATAGAATCAGAACTAGAACTAGTTGCCATTCAGCATAAAGAAATTTAAATAAATATGAATATTGCCAATAAAAGAAATATAAATATGAATATTAACAAAATATTAAAGTTAATTTTATAAAATAATTAAACACATGAACAAATATATGAAATAAAAAATAATTATTTCTCATGCAATAACTGGGCCACTACAATAAGCCAGATCAATATGTGTGTACGTGGATAGCACTGCCAGTTTGTTCTGCAATGCCGAGAATTCTGGAATTCTCCAGTGTTTTTCAGAGTTAAAAAAGGTTGTTGTGCATGCAGACAGAACAAGAAAATAGAAAGTTAAATGCTTTAGTATGGGTATTCATAGCAGTTTTAATTTAGCTTGTTTGTTAATATTTTATGCCATTTGGAATATTTCATAATGAATACTTGTTTTATGTAATTTTTACTGCTTTGTTATGGATATTTCTTGAATTCATGGCTGTTTTACATAATTTTTAGTATGCGAGTATTTTTTTTTAAAAATGGTTACTGTTTTTCACATGCTAGATTGGTGAAAAATTAGTCGTCTTTGTGGAAGGATTGCATGGATACTGTGAGAGTACCAAATGGACTGCGGGTAATCCAAGGTTTTTACATGATCTTTATTTCTGTAAACGATTCAATCAACTTCTGTACGTATTCTTATAAAAATTTCAGCATAAAATAAATTTAAAAAAAATCTTTTAATTCCTTATTTCTGTAAACGATTTAATCAACTTCTGTAAGTATTCTAATAAAAACTGCAGCATACAATAAATTAAAAAAAAATCGGTACTTTTCCGTTTTGCCGGCGCAAGCGATAAAGTCGCCAATAATGGTACAACCGATGCCAAACGGAATATTCTCGCTGGTAACCTTTTACGCCTCATTTTCAAACAAGTTGCAGCTTTTTCTTATCAGATGAATTGTTTCTTCATACTGGCGCAAATCTCGCCATAGAATTTTTATCAGGTAGTCAGTTTATGTCTAAGGCCATTTCGGTAATTAAGTCAATTAGGATGCAATCAAACGCTTACCCGAAGCCGAAAATATAGAAAGGTAAAGTCAAGGGTTAAATTCATCCATTCTAATGAGAATGCATTAGCGAAGTAAGCACTGCGTTTTACATAATTCTGAGTACTATTCGTACGAATTGAAATATTTCTTGCATTTAAAATTGTGTTCCAAATTAAGATTTTAAGTTGAAATTAATGTAGATAATTACTGAGAGCATTAGATTTTGTAGAATAGTTTGCGTGGATTAGATCGCTTGGGGTCAACTGACATGAACCGGCGATCAGATGTTGAACCATGAGCATAGAAAATTCTTATTAATGCTTTTTACAAAGTTATTGTCTTATATATTGGCTTTTTATAAAATTTTAAGTGATATTAAATGTTTATGCCTTCAAAATAAAAGATTCTTAGAACTAAATTTTTAAATATTTTTTTATGTGTATTACTGCATGTTGTCGCCAATAAAGTCTGCTTGGCGAAATTTGTGCCGGCGAAACGGAAAAATACCAAAAAATCTTTTAACTTTTTTGGGGTGTTTTCTTCTATTATTGGGACCAGATTCAGAAATGCATGTATAAGGCAAGCAAAAAGTGCATTTAGCTGAAAAAATAGTTTGGCCACATTTTGTAAAATAACAGGAAACTCTGTGGTATAATATAATAAATAATGTAACCTTTACTGTTCAGTCAAGTCAGTCTGCCCTTTTTTAAGCAATAAAATATTTTTGGCTAAATCACACAAAATCTATTACAGTAAAGTCTGTAATCCGGATTCGTTGGGACTTCGACGATTCCGGATTAGGGCTTTTCCCGGATCATAGATCATCAATTTAAAACTGGTTAGATGGCATGCAGAAATTATACAATTAAAAATATTGTTTCGCGTGTATGGGTTCGTTACGAAATAAATGCACAAGTCCGATGAAAAATGAACAAAAATTTATTATTATCACAGCAAATATGCTTAAATTTCCTCAAATTATTATGTAGTATTACAATATCTCACAGTAGTTATCTTTTAACTACTAAACGTTCAATAGAACTTAATTCAAAACAGTTGAAAAAGCTATCTGCGATTGGCTACAATCAACAAGACAGTTTCTGAAAAATCTTAAAACAACAACAAACTAAGTAACTAACTAACTACGGATTGAGAGGTTTTCTTCCTTTTATAAGATTTGAAATTGGGCGCGAGAAATTTCTGGATTTTCTCGAGCAAGAGAGATATTTATTTATTAAATGTTAAAATGCAGTGCTCTTGATTTTTAACTTTCTGGTTAGCTTTCCTTATATTCGTCCGCGCAGCACTGCACGGGGAATAAAACAATTTAATTTATAATTCAACTAACATTAGCTATTTAAATACGAAATACGTAACAATATAAAACCGTAATTTATGAAAAATAAAGAGCAATTATGATCTAAAGGGTATCAAATTTTACAAAGAAAAAAAGGTTAATATTTATTTGTTTACTTCATTAAACATTTCTTTCAATGCGTGCATGTGTAATGTATGCACATTCTTTATGCGTGCGCATAATGTATGCGCATGCGTAAAGTTTGTGGCTTTGAGGTCTGGATTATAGATCATTTCGGATAATAGATGTTCAGATTACGGACTTTGTGCTGTATTATATGAAATGCGAGAAGTATAAATTTTTATTATGTAAAAATGCAAATGGCAGAAAAAATCACAATGAACTAAGAAAATTTCACAGCCTTGCAACTACTAATTAAAACAGGAATGTTTATCATAGTTACTTCTGCCCCCGTACTTCCTAATTACAACATTTATCGAGTATGTCTTTAGTGACAGTTAACTTGGTAGAACCACATAACTTGCATATTACAAATTTGGCAATTATTTTGTTCAGTTTTGATAACTAACCACAGTGGCTGTTTTAATATGAAAGCACCTTTTCCTTTTATGAGATGATACAGAACAGAAAACGGTATTTAAACAAAAGGGGGGGAGAGGGATGAAAGAAACAGAGAAAAAAATCAAAGAGAAAATAATCAAAGAGAAAATTACAGATTACATATTATCTGTATCTGAATTTGGCAGGCAGAAGGTTTATGTCAAAAGAAGACCAAACACAATTACTTATTAAAAGTGTATGACACTTACACATTATACACTTTATAGCATAAAGCAACATCAATAATTAGGACTTCCAAACATACCTGTTGAATTTTCCAATAATCTGATATTTGGCAGTGACATATTGGACGTATACTGCATCAATTCTGGGATAATAGGTGAATCTGAACTCAGACTCACAGTATCACCTAATACATTTGTTTTTAAGTCCCGACTTTGCTCATCAGGCTCTGACCAAATGATACTATCACTATCACTAGATTCTAAAATAACATACTCATCACCACACTGTTCTTCATCTTGTGATGCTTCATATTGAACTATTTCTCTACTTACAACACTAGAATTGTCATCTTTTCTTGAATAAGCAGGTTCACAAATGAGACTGTCATCATATTCTGAAGTATGATTTCCATTTGCAAATTTCCTATGCAGTTCTTTATTTTGGTAAAGTGTTTTCAGTTTTTTGTTTGATGTACTATTACACTGTGTACTTTCAGTAACATTACTTGAATTTTCTAAGGATAAATCTGATTTTCTTTTAATTGAATGGCAGCCAGTATTAAAGTTAGGTGTACTGTGGGCTTTTGGTAAACAGGTTTCAACAGAATTATCTGTGGAATTATTTAGGAAAGAACTTAAAGAACTTGTACATTGATTGTTTTTTGACAAAGGAGTGTCTTCAGTAAAAGAATTTTGCTGCATATCACGTTTCTCTTCACTTTCTGCATTTAGGCTGGCATCTCGATTAAGAGAATTATCAGGCGATGCCACAATCTCCTGGTGATGAATTACACCATAAAGTTCTGCTTCAACATCACTGTCAATTTTATCACTGTCAAATGATTCATCAGAGCTGGATGCAAAATCATGATCACTGTAATTCCAAATCCCAAGCATCATTTACTCTGATAGCATATGAATCTGAAACACATATTTTAAAAGTAAAACATCACAGCTAAAAATCAATTTAATATAGAAAAGCACAGTTCTTTTTTTTTTTTTAATATATAAAAGCAACTGATTACACTATTACAAAATATGATCAACTCCCAGTTTATTGGGATAATTGGGATAATATGTATAGTTAGCTAAAAATCCGTATTAATCTAAGGGGGAGAATACAGGAAAGAAGAATAATCCATATTATAATTAACATAAAAGCATTATTAATAATTCACCTGTACTTTCAAGCAATTCAATTGTTGAATATGTTCACCAGATTACCTAAATTAAATCAGTATTAAAAAAATTCACTGTACAGAATAATACACCTCAACAGAGGTAAGTAAGTTACAAATGGTGTTAAAAAAATGTGTGTAAGAGATTATTCAAACTCCCATAAAAAGTTCATCAAAACAATTTTTATTGTATGTTTATATATTCCAGATTATGCAGAATACAAACACATATTACAGTGTGCATAATAACTTGCAAACACTATGATACCATTTGCAACCAATACTGTTATCACAGACAGTTTTCCTTTTAATATTTTCTGTAGACTTTATTTTATATTGATGATTTGTGACAGTAATTTTCCATTATCCCATAATAAGCAAACTTTCTTTTAAAGTTAATTCTCAATTAATCTGCCCTCAGTTAATGAGGAGTTGAAATCAATGTAGTAAGCACACTTTGGTATTAAAAAAATCCTTGGCTCCTGTACGATTACAAAAACAATTCTGTATATATAAAATAAAATTATACATGATTTGCTCAAAAAGAAAAATTTTAGCAGCAGAAAAAACAAAAATAAAATTAGTACAGAATTTTTTGATTATAATAAGGCCTTAATAATATGCACTTTAAAAATAAACTTTGTATGCAATTTTTACGTATTATGTTAGAATATCTATACAAATAACTTATATAATAAAAAAAATCATTTTTTCAAGTTAAACCCATAAAATGTAGGCACCATGAAAGGAACTGAGGTACTTTCAATAAACAGGCCATCAATAAGCACCAAACATAAACAAATTGCAGTCATTAGGCATTTAAGAAGCAGAAGAAATGATGGAAAACCCTCGGCAAAGAGGAACAAAAGTAAATAAATAAATAAAATAACTATTAAAATCATTATTTAAAAATTAAATAGGTAATTATTACCAAATTAATTAATAATTATTTAATTAATGTTAATAATAAACATTAATCAATTATTGCTTAATTAAATAAAATTAAAGATTAAAATAATGAAATAAACTCAAAACTCCTGTTTCTGACTGTCCTCCGGTTTAGTTACTGTTGGTCGCAAGAATTAACATCAATTGTTGATTGGAACAATTATACAAGGGAAGTATGCCCTCATAGCCTTCTACAATGTGATTCGAAACAAATAGGAGGTCCGAACAAAACTGTAGAGAGAGATGACAGCCTTTTTACAAAGCACAAAAACCAAGTTGGTCATATTATTCCAGAACAATGGATACTTGGGAGACTGTGCAGAGAGACCAATGAGTGTTTTATCGTAAAGTTTCCCAACTGAAATGCAGTAACTTGAAATTAGGAACAACATTGCAGAAAGAACTACAGTTTTCTCAAACTCGTGGAAAAGTTACAAAACTGATTAATTAAAAGCAGCAGGATTCCAATACTTTAAAGTGAATCACCGATACAATTTTGTGGATCCTGAAACTAGTACACATACACAGAATATAGAACAATTGTGAAGTTAGCCAAAATGGAAAAACAAGAAACACCGCGGAACTACCCCAAAACACTTGCATTCATATTTATATGAATTCATTTGGCAGAGAGTACACAAGGATAATGATTTGTTCATTTGTGCTTTAAAAGCTATCTAGGATTTTTTGGAAGCCAAAATGATTTATAATACAGTACAAAGTCTTTAATCCGGACTCGTCGGGACTTCGGCAATTCCGGATTAGGGTTTTTTCTGGATTATAGATCATCAGTTTAAATCTGCTAAGATGGCATGCAGAAATTATAAAATTAAAAATATGAAACCGTAATTTATGAAATAAAGAGCAATTATGATCTAAACGGTATCAAAATTTACAAAAAAAAATGCTTAATATTTATTTGTTTACTTTATTAAACATTTCTTTCCATGTAAGTTCTTTAAAGTTGCTTCATTTTATGTGCTAATACTTTCTCTTTAATTCTATAACAGATATAATTTCTTATCATTACAAAGTTCCCTGTTTAAGTCCTCTAATTGCTGTGCCGAGAACACCGACTAAATTGTCAATCAAAATTTTTTCGTTTTCCACTAACCTCTGCCACTTTCTTCATGCCTTTATCCATTTTTTCGCAGCATTCCATTTTTGTTGATGGACATCGAAACGTGCTTTCCGCTTTGTAGACCCTTTGGCAGCTAAGAATATCGGAACTCTTTTTGACATAATCGAAAGTTCAAGCTTCTTTTTATAAATTGCTCTAACAGTTGCAAAAAATAATAAGCTAGATCCAATTAGAAGATTAAGGAACAACGCAATCTGCAACATTAACTGAAATAGATAATTAGATAATTTTAGCCTAAATTATACTGTCCATTATACATTAAACGCGCATGCGTAAATGTATTATGGGCATGCGCAGAAAGTTTGTAGCTTTGAGGTCCGGATTATAGATCATTCCGGATTAAAGACTTTGTACTGTAATTTATATGGTTATATTCAAGAATAATTCAATGTGTAATTATTAAAAAAATGGAGGTTTTTACTTTGATTCTTTTTATTATGTACCATTACACTTACATTTTTTTGTTATTATTATTATTTGATAAATTTAAAATGTTTATTTGGAAACTCCTTTTCATTATGATGGCACCAAAGGACCTGCGCATTTTCGCTAGTGTTTACAGGTTGACGGGATAATCCCAATGTACCGTTTTGTTATCCCATCTTTAGAAATTGTAGCATGGAAAGACTGCTGGCCATTTTTTTTATCTATCAGCCATAATTAAATAAACAATATTGCAAATCCTATAGATTATTTTAAATTAAAACATATGTATATGATGTTATTTAAAAAAATAAACAACACATTAAAATTATCATATATACAGTACAAAGTCTGAGATCCAAACTCGTTGGGACTTCAGTGATTTTGAATTTTTCCGGAAGTTAGATCATGAGATTAAATCTAGTAAGATGGCATATGTAGAAATTATAAAATCAAAAATATGAAATCATGATTTATGAAATAATGAAGCATTTGCGATCTAAAGAGTATAAAATTTTTTTAAAAAAAGAAAAAAAAAAGATTAATATTTGTTTACTTAATAAAAAATTTCCTTCGATGCAAGTTGTTTAACCCTTTCACCGTCTTCTCCTGTCTGCGAAAATTTTCTCGTCCCCCAGCGGCCATCTGTTTTTTGTAGTGTGTAATGTTGTTTACTCTGTACATCATAACTTTCCATACGTGACTTTCGTAGTGGATGAATGTCAATGAATATTAAGTAAAATTATAAGGAATAACGCATAATGGAAAATATAATATCTCTGCTTATTTCTAACAGCAGGATATTTGATAGCATTGATCCAGGCGATCCACCTCCTCCCATTTGTTGTTGTAATCTTTTACAATTACTGTTTTTTTACAGTTCTTTTCCGTGCTCCAACATCAATCATCGAGTTATTACGGACTGTACTCATCAACAATATTCTTCTTGTCTTTCAATTCACACCCCATTTTTACTCTTTTTCTGATGAGTAGACGTTGAAGCCATCTCTCACTGTCTTGTATCTTATGTAAAATGGCACGAATATTCATAAAACCTGGGGCAAATTCAATTAGAAATAGAACGCTTGATTAGTGCTGCCCTCTAAGAACAAATAAAAACTTAAACAAGTAAACATTTAGAAAGCGTTTTAAAATGTAGAAGAATGCTTGCAACACGTTACGGCCACCCTGCGGATGTTTCACTTGAACGTGCTAGATGCGTTACGGACGACGAAGAGGTTAATTTGATTCATTTTTATTGTTAATGCTTTCTCTTTAATTCTAAAGATATATATAATTTCTTGGTCACTTACAAAGTCCTGTTGTTTAAATCCTGTAATTGCCGTGTCAAGAATTCTGACTGACTTCTCAATCAAAATTTTTTCGTTTTCAATAACCTCTCTTTAACTTTCTTCACTATTGGTAGCAGTATTTTCTGGATCTAGAACCATACTACAGATTTCACTGTTCGTTAATGGATTGATGATTGGGGCATTGTCATTAGAATGAAAAACTTCTGTTATATCATCTTTACTTATAAGCGCTTACTCATATTTTTTTACAAAATGAAAATTAAATTAATTGGAAAATTTCACTTTTTTTTTTTTTTAGATATCTGAAAACCTCCAGATTCGCGGCTATCATCTTCATCATCTTTACCATGAAATATGGTAGCTGACCATTATGCCAAGTACTTTTTAAAGTATCTGGAGGCACATCCTTCATGATTCTGTGATGCTCCATACATCATATTTTATACTAAAATATTTCAAAAATTCTTGAACAGTTTTGCCATTATTTAAGATATTTAACATGGACGTTAAAAATACTACTTTACATTTGCATTTCAGAGTGTGCAACGGACATACAATTTGGAGGAAAGAATAATACAGACACATTATCTTTCACTAAAGCTTTTAAGTGAAGTATGAGCCATACAGTTGTCTACAATCAGGACAAATTTTCTGTCATCAGGTAAACCAACCAAATTCATATGTTCCTGAGCCTTCGGTATAAAATGGTTTTCAAACCAATTGTTCATTAACATTTGTGTCATCCATGCATTTTTATTTGCATGATATATAATTGGAAAAGTCTTTACTTCTTGAAATGCTTAAGGTCCTGTATTTTTTTTTTTCCCGAATACGAAAAGTTTACATTTGTGCATTTCTGCAGCATTTACGCGAGCTAAAACTGTTAGTCTCAATCTGGAATCTTTGACACCAATTGGA